TAAAACCTTTATGTACGTATAATATGTTTGTAAACGATAAACGCAATATTGTATCATATACCAAACAGTTTGTTTTTGCTTTCCTTACACATAACTTTCTTTCTGATCTCAAAGCAGGACGAAGGGCGTACTCGCGATATTATGAAATTTTACGAACTACAGGGCAAACTGGGATCCTCTTGGGGATATATGGCGCCATATGCTGCGAATGCGTTTCCATCTGCGTCTTGGGAATGTTTCTGGCGTTATGTTTCCGTATTAACACCTGCTGTGGACCTCTTCGTTCCTCTTCGCCCACGCATGTCCGGAGCACTCGGAACGTTGGTATGAGTTTCAATGCGACTCGTACATTTTCTAAATCCACCATGGCGTTGGGCGTAACCCATGACGACCCGGGGAAAATTTCTTACTGAGAACCCTATTCAGACGCTCCTTTCGCAGTGACGGCCAACGTGCAATGTTGAATCTTTGGAAGCTTTCCAAGATCGTGAATTACGCGATCATTTCTTGAAAATTCAAGCGCATCGTGTCAACTAGAAAATTTTAAAAGGTCATCTTTGAGCATAAATTTGTCTTATTTTTATAGCTTAGGCATTCCATAACTAAATTCGAAAATTTTAATCTTAAATATAAGGTAGTTTAGAGTGTGATTTGCAGTTTAAATTTAAACATAAATTTTAATATCAAAATTTAAGAGGAGAAGTGTCACTAACATTCGCGACGCAATTCGATAGATTTTATTACCACTACCGTAAAAAGGTTTAATTACGATCATAATTAAGTCAGACCAACGCAAACGTTGTTGGATCAAATGCGGTTTAAGGTTTTTGCTTTTCATCTTTCCATTTTAAACAGTGCATATGTTCAACCTTCGAACGTGTTGGGGAAGGATTAAACCCTTTTCACCTCGTTCCGAGCGAGCAAAAATATCTACGTACATGCTAATACCCGCTTGCACGATATTTTGCTGTCCCAATCTAAACCTTTAATCTTTATTGTAGAAATAAGTAAAACATAGCTAACAAACTTAACTACTAACTTACGCGATACAAACTCGGAAACAAATACGATAATGTTATATGCTATTTTATCAAAATCTTAAATTTTATATATATATATATTAAATTTTTTTACATATATCAAAAAAATATAAATATCATTTTTCATAAAACATAATTTTACTGCTAAAATATCTGTAGCATTAATAATATTCGATGAAAACAATTCTCTTAAAAAAAAAAAATTGTATTGTATTACATATCGTGAAAATATAATGGCATTTAAATGTCATTTATTTTTCTCGTTCTAACAGAGGGAATATATTCATAATGTAACAATGTATTTCATATTTCGGGACGTTAAATCGTTCCATATTAATATGATAATTAAGATATCTAATATCACGTATTAAAACACAAATTTATGCGGATGCACGAGGAACGAAATACCGTACTTCATGTTACGAAGAGAATTTCATATTTTCGATAAGATCCGATTTTACAATCTTTCAACGCCCATGGAGAGCAGCATACGTTCGTAGGGAAACATATAACCGTATTCACAGAATGGCGCGAGGACCTTTCTTCCCTCCAAACCTTTTTCTCTTCTCGATTCGCGATCGCGTTACATGGTTCTGGAATCTTTCCAAGGAGTCGGTTCCGCGATTTTTAGAGCGAAAATTGAGGCGAAAAGTGTATGCAAAGTATCTTCGGATTTTCTGAGATTCTTGATACGTTTTTCGAACTTCTTGTTACTATCTGGGAATAATATAGACTTGATACAATCTTCATGTTGTTATATATGTGAAGAATTTTTCCAAAGTTATATCATTTTAAATGATGCGTATTTGTCGTTGCTTTAACAAAAGTGTTTTAAATAACATGTATGATAATAGACAAGACTTCAATGAAAAATGTTATAATATGAAAATCTTTTTACTTTTTAAAAACCTCTCCGTATATTGTAAGAACAGTTGAACTCATTTAGAATAACTGTAGTAATACTTTTCAATGTTATGCTTGATAATCTCAAAATTCTCAGCAAGTATCAAATAATAACCTAACTGTTAGTTATAATTTCCCATTCAATAACATAACATATTGTGTATAACAAGTGTTATATTACAGTTATATTATTAAGTAGAAAATTATAACAATTATGTTATATTAGTTGGTGTTTGCTGGGTTATTAATAAATCATACATTCTGTTATTATGACTTTTCTATTGCCGCGATTATTTTTTTTATTTAAATCTAAAGTTAATATTGAATACCTTAATACATAGGATAAATAAAATAATAATATGATAATAAATGGAAATAAAAATATAATTAATAAAAAAATAATTTATGGATTACAGAGAAAAAAACAAAGAGAGGGAGGGGGAGGAAAGAGAAAGAGAGTGAGTACACATCATAAAAGATACTGATTACACTGTTATGGGCTAAGCTTCCAATAATATTGTAGGATTAAGAAGTATTGAATTCATTTCATTTTTATCGTTGCATACTCGACGTTTCTGACTTAATAGATTGTTAATACCACGTAAGATAAAAAAATTGAAGTGAGATAAAGATCTCAAATAAAAAAATTTTCTACATTAATTGGCTACGTATCGAATGTAAAAAAATCCGAGTAAAATACGTAAAATTAAATAAAATATAATGTATCTTAACGTACTTGCGTAAATTAATTTTGTATATTTAGTTAATAAATTGAAAAAGAACACAGCCTCGGCCATATTATTAAATCTCATGGTATTATTAAATTTTCCGTCATGCCTGCGCCATTTTACTCGGTGCTGCAGGTGCCGCCTGCGCTATATTTTATTACATTAAATCATACTGGAGATACAATTACAATTTCTGTCTTTAGAAAGCTTTGCACGTTTCCTCTTATTCAGCGACCTATTTCGAGAACGTCCCTACCATCCGTCTTGGCAAGGCCGACAGTACGAGAAAATTTAATGAACGTGACTAGATCTTATCGAAGCGCGGCGAGAGTATGGCGAAGAAGTCAACTTGGAACTGGGAGAGATTGGCAGCGCGCACCGTGTCGTCAGTTTATATAAGACACACCTGACTTTTACAAATTTTCGATTCTCGCGCCGAAAAGCAATCCGCTGCAGTTTGCCTTATTCTTTCACATCTTTTCCAACGAATAAGAATTACTCACGACGTTACTCATTTGGACCATATAAATCGTTATAACTTTCCTCGAAGTATTGTTCAAGTTCGCATTCTTCCATCGTAGGTTTAAATAGCGTTAAATGGCTTTTCGTTTTCTCTCCCTACAGGATTACAATTTACTACCGATCTTAATGGACGATAAACTTGCAATCTGTGGTACAGAAGAGTTTGCAAAAAATCGAAACGGATACAACGAGTCCCAGATGAATAGAGCGCGGACGGAAAACGGGTTAAGTTATAACCGAATTTACCGACGTCTACTTTAGAGTGTTTACGAGCCTCTCATGAGAATACCCCGGATACCGGACGATTTGCATCGTTAGATTTTAATTACGCATAAGTTCCGGACGCATTTAAGAGTCGAGGGTAGAGCGAAAAAGGAAGGAGAGAAAAACGGGATAAAAACCTGAGTTTCAAGTACATTAAAGCATCTCGCTGGTTTCCTAGGAGATTCGACGTAGACAAACGGCCGGATTACTTCTCTCACGAAGCGAAAAGCGCGGCTGGATAGAACGGTGAGCTACTCTTTTTTTTTTTTTTGTTTTCAAAGCCGACTCTGAGTTGCCAGCCAGGGCTTAATCAGTTGTTAGCCCAACCTGGCCAATTGAAAGTTGGTGAAAATTAAAGAGAGCTTCAAGAGGACGGTATCCGGGCTAATCTCTCAAGGGAGTCGCGATTCGCGCCAGCGATTAAATCGTGTCGCAAAATGAGAAAAGGAGTCGTACCGAGAAGTTACGCTTTCGTACCGACATTGTCGTAAAAGCCAGTTCGCAGCGTGCAATGTCGCTCTGTAAATTGCGGTTCTCATATGTTGTGCTTTCTGCCCCTTGCTGCGTAGCAGTGTTGCGTAAAAAGTCCGTCGTACGGACGACTTTAATTTACGTCCACGAGCAAGGATAGCACGTCTGAGACTAAAAACTATTCCACGCGTGCGTTTGGTAAATCTGATTAAATGCAACATTGCACTCGCTTGTAAATTGCTCGCCTGAGACGTTAACGTTGCATCTCATCCTACATGCTTGTAATATATATTTTATGATAGCCACGTCGCTAGGAAGGGACAACAAAGTTGCTTGATTATAAAATGATTGCGGGAAGATTTTGTATCACGTTATTTATCTCTCGTACTTTAAATAAATGCAAATATAAAATACTTTTCTTCTGGGCAAAAAAATTCCTGTTTCTATGGCGCACTGTGTTCGCCGTAGTAGAATTTTCATTATTGTGATGAAAAAAAAAAGCAACACAGTATATTATTGTTACACGAGAAGAGAACGGTTTTGTCGAAGCATCTAAACATTTAGCTAGATACAGATCTGAAAATAATTTTGTTTGGACTATCACAACTACATATGTAAAATATTTAAATCGGTCAGTAGAATGTTAAAACTTTTTGCAGTATTATTATCAACATTGTACACAAATATTTTGATGGTCCAACAAAATTATTTTGAAATCTGGATCGGGCTAAATATTTGAGCAAAACCATTCTTTCCATATGTAATGCAGTTAAATATGATTTTATTTCACTCACAGCATAAATTGTACATTTTTTACTTTGCGTTGTTAGCTATTTAAAATATTATTAAATGACATTTATTTTTTACAAAAGTTTTATAAAAAATTTCGGTAACGCCGACCATCTAGTGAGACCATAAATGACAATCGAACACGTTCTGTGTGTTTCAGAGATTTTTAGATACTATCAAATCATTCCTTTTGCACGCCACAATAATTGTTCGGGTCCACCCAGATTTTTCAACGTTACGAGGTCACTAATTGAAGCGGTTACCGCATGGTTCCTTGTTACAGAGGCACCTCGTGGGACGTATCTGCTGATAGATGGCCGCCGGCTAGATCCCGGAAACCAGTTTGTGCCGGTAAAGGAGGGCTCGGAGCTCACTCTCGAGTGCGCGGCCGAGGGTGGAAACCCACCGCCCATCCTGGCGTGGGGCATGACCTTGTCTCAAGCCACTTTAGACGGCCCGGAACAACCACCAGACAACCTCACTGTGCTGCCCTCAACATCCGGCAGACGCAGCGGGGCTCACCTAAAGGTCTTGAGGGGACATCACAACGCCACTATCGTTTGTGTCGCGCGCCACATTACGCTGGTGATACCAATGAACGCTAGCATTCTGCTCGATGTCCAATGTGAGTATCGACAAAATTATATTAACTATATTACGTTCAAAATAAGCTTTTTTATGCGAAAACGACAAACGGGATTTATCTTTTATTTACCTTTTTTTCTTAAAACTAAATAAATTTAAAAGAGTGATTTTTCTTTAATAAAATATTATAATTATCGTTTCTCGTTACTTTTTAATTTTTATGAAATTATTTAGTAGACACTTTGAGTGATTTTTATCAAAATAAATCGACACACTAAAGTTTAATCAAAAATAAAGTTTTATCATGTACCTCTTTGAAAATATCTTTTTATTAATTTTTAATTTAAAATATCTGTATAATTAGACTTCTCTGAAAACTCACAACAAACCGGTATGCCAGAGTACAAAAATAACAGAAAATAATCAGCAGTTATCATACATATGCATGAGCTTAAATTGCGTTTTGAGATAGAGTCAGGGTGAAATAATTCTACCACAGGTCGTTTTTACTCAGGAATCGACGGGCACACGAGCCGGTGAAATTTCCGCGATATTAAACCTAGTTGTGCGCCATCGTGTTGGAAATGAGTAACGAGTAATGTGTGTCGAGGACGGCAGACGAGCCGTGCGCCCATCGAAACTGAAATATAAACTTAATTAAGTCTGAATCCGACGGCACTCGCGACTTGTTTTAAGTGAGCTCGTGAACCGGGAAGAAACGACTCTGTGTTGTATTTGAGGTGCGACGACCGTGTTACAAGAGCCTGCGTAGAAAGGGGTTGCGGTGTCGGTGTTGGGGAGTCTCGGAATGGGTGACTTCAGGGGTGACGCCGTGTATTATGCGACGTGGAGGTAGTTTATTTTGCGTCGTTGCGCCTCTTTCGCCACTCTCGCATCCAACAGTCGCGGTCGGAAACTCTCCCCCGACTCGCTCTCTTCGTCGCCCCCTACCTTGGGGAGTGGCCCAAGTCACCGAAAGAAGCTTCTCCAGCCGGTTTCGAGGCAAACTCCGAGGGATTAACGGGAGTTCCGCAGCGCGGACAAAAACCGGTAGAAGCGTGCGAGCGCGCGCTCGCACCACCCCTGCGCTCTTTTTACCGCACGTCGCCTCTTCGGGCGTTTAGGGGTGGCTCGTCGAGGCGAGACCGCGAAGATATATCACCCGAAACTGGTTTCCTCCGCCTTCTCTTCTTCTTCAACCGGAGAACTTTCTCGGTCATCTCGTTTTCGCTCCTGCGAGATACAGAGTAGAGTGTATTCGCGATCCTCGTTCTCGATCAGTTTCCCAAATTAAAAGTAAATAAGAAAGTGATTTTTCAGATATCTATAGTTTTAAAAGAAATATGTAAATAAAAATGTTAAAAGAGAAATACATCATATGCGGAAAATACAACACTGTGTTTGAAAACGATTTTGAATAGCTCATAGTATAAATTCTTAAAATAATAATTCAGTAGTTCTGGAATGTTGCATTTTGTGACGAAGCTGCAGTCTTATAAAAAAGAAACATTACTACAATTTCAATAATAATGAATTACGAATGTGTATGGTAAGTCTGCATTCGTCAGTCTCAGAACTGACAGGAATAAATGTTCTGTCATGAGCTACAATTTGGGGAAACTCTGCTCTAGATTATACGGAGTCCTGCCTCGAATTCCGTCGTCGCGGACAGTTCTTAGCAGTGGGTGCAAGGGGGGACCCATTGTACACCGACATTACTTCGCTCTTTTAATCCTTTCACGCCTGTCCGAACGAGCGCCGCGTCGTCCGGCGGCCTGAGGCTGAACGAGCTTACCGAGGAACTTACTCCATGAAGGAGAAAGTTCGCCGCGAGTCGTTTAACCGCTGGGGAAAAAGACGGCAAGGATATCCGAGACACGTGAATTTTCCGTCGGGAATTTTCAAGGACACCGCCGATCGATCGGCGTGATTAATGTTACCGTCTTGTAATGAACTTCGAATGCTCGTCTTGGGAATGATACTTATCTAACAAACTAGATAGATAACTGGAATTTATTTTACATTTATAGTGGCGTATCAGATTTTTCGGAAAATATATTATAATATAAAAATGAAAAGGTAAATGGACAAAAATATATAGACACGTATTTTTGATTTGTTTAATATATTCATTGGAATTTTTCTCTTCGCGATATTTTCTTCAACTTGATTTCAGAATTTTCGCGTTCGTCATCGAATTTGCTGTGCGGATATCTAATTTCAAAGACGATACGGGCGCGAGCAGCCAAGCTGAAACGTCTCGAGGATGCAAATTTTCTAGACGAACAGCTTGCACGCTCGGCGTCTTAGACGGAAGAGAGAATGCGGGTGCCTTACGGGCGATAGTGATATCGTACAGGATCGGCTGTACGTTTTTCTTGTCTCTCTCTCTCTCTCTCTTTTTTCCTTTACTTTTTTGTCGCGAATTTATTCCAGCTGTACTTACCTACCTCGGCTGTCGCGCCGGGGACAGGACAGAAGAGGTACATTTGTCGGCATCTGAGCGAGCAAATTTTCCGGTAGAACGGTCGCTAAAGGTACCGAGGGTGTCCTGGGACGCCTTTATGACGCCGGGGTGAAAGGGGAATCCACGTGGTGACCCACTTTCCATATCGTTGTGGCGCATCGCCGTTTGTCATTACGCGTAATGCAGGCTATTACCGGTTGTCATCGCCGGGTCCCCACTCCGTTCCATATCGAATAAATGATTTTACTTTTAAATCGCACCGCGCGGCCGACAACGCGATTAATCATCGTGGCGCGTTTGTCGTCCCGGGTCGAGTCGCGCGGCGGATGCACCGCTACGACCGCGGCTATTTTACATAAGTTCGACCAGAGTATTCGATTTGTACTTGCCGGCGACGGCCGGAAAACGCGATCGGATTCGCTATAAATCACGCTGATTTTTGGCGACATTCGTTATTTGCAGCTGACCCGAATACGCGCGGCGGCAACTTCCGGAACGGTCACCCCGTCCCGACTGCGCTATGAATATGTAGCGAGCGTAGCCGTAAAATTGTAACCGCAGTTGGATACACGAGCGAGCAAGACAAGCTTCATCTCAATGTACATTCTAATCGATCTGTGCGCGTTCGCTTCGTTAAACCGAAGATTCGCGCTGTGAATGATGAAGTTTCGGAAAAAGCTTATTGTTCTTTTACGCGGTAATTACCAAAGTATCCTGCGACTTTGTCCACTTTAAATCTTAGCAGATATCGTCGGAACTTTCAACTTCGACATTGTTAGGCTTTTATGTACAAAAATTATAAAAAGTGATTAAATTATTTGCTGTATCAAAAAGTTCAACAGATATCGAAATTAGGTGTACACTGAACGTACAGCTATTTTGCTTTTAATGATGTTAAAATAATTTACTTAAATACGTGTGTATATATTTGTGATAACACCATTGCATATATAATATAGAAAGTTATTTTGTATGCTCTGTTATATTCATTATTGCTGTTTGAGCTTCACGGCATAAAGATTTCTATTATAAAAGGAGAAACGCGATATTCTCACGGAGATGTAGTCTCTCGCAAAGCTTTGTATTAAGTCGTCAGTTATAATAACAAATAATAACACTTGTACGTATTTGCACTTGAAATACTGAAGTACTAATTGGCACTTCAGGAATCTCTACATCGTGCCGCTGTTGTCGTACGGAAACACTACTGAGTCGTCTTTGTTAGTTACAATGAGAATTTAATCGCTCTGAAAGAGCACACAAATGCAATAGTATCCTACATAAGTTATGACAAAGCGCTGTTTGCACAGTCGCCATTCGTAATCCGATTTCAGCTTTGAAGAAGTAATTGTTACAGATTTGTCGGGTCAATGTGTCAAATAATTAATGTTGTGTCGATGGGCAACTCTTCTATGCATATATTACGTTCGAAACTATTATCAGATATATTTACAGATTCTTGTTTATTGTAAAAGAAAAAAGATTCGGTATTTTTACAATAAAACAATTGAATTTATGAATGTAAAAATACAACTGTTATAAATATTGAATAATAATAGGGGAAGCAAAAAAGAATAAAAGCTTCTACATATTTTTTATTTGTCGTTATTACAAATTTAACAATATTTTGAAAGTATTGCATATACATGTCTTACGCTTATAGAGCTATCAATTATTTATCCGAATATAGAGGTTTTGAACGGATAGCTGCTTGAATTTTTTGATCGTGGCTTGTTTCCTCCGCCATGCAGAAGATATGCAAATAACGTAATCATCATGCTTATCGCGTTCGACTTCTGAAACTTTTTTGATCACTCTCAGACGCGGCGTATTTGACGCGCGTAACGTTCAGAGAAGGACCAACATTCGTTTAAGTTCGCGTGAAAGTTCACGATATTGGCATGGTACTTCGGTTAATAAGATGCAAAATACTTGGGAACTAGCCGTCGCTGAAGACGACAAGCGGGCGAAGATCAATATGCATTCTAGTCATGAAACGTAGGAAGTCTCGTCAAAATGACATAATCTGCCTGCAAAAATTACAATCGTATTTACATAAATTTCAGAACGTATGTTAACTCAATTTTTACTCTAAAAAAGGCATTATAGACCTTTCCATACAAATATGAAAGATCTCAATTTTTCTAGATTATATTAATAAAAAAAAGTTGGATATAAATTCACAGTTTTCTGACATTTAGTGGTACGTATTTCAATGAAAATGTTCTTTTATACGAATTAATTAACGTGAGAAAAAATTGAAAAGTAATTTAGCTTACATTAGTTATAGCTTCCATAACATACCTTGATCAGACTTTGTCTAGCTATCATCTGTAAATACGATATAGTATTTTATTAATTTTATAACTATCTGATCAAATTTACCTTTGTTACATACTTTATACCTTCCATAAAATCCGTTTTATTAAAAATGGTTTTCTCTCTCTCTCTCTCTCTCTCTCTCTCCCCCTTTCTTTCTCTTCTCACACGTCTCTTTTTTACATTACAAAAAAACTATGAATAAATAAATCATGAGATTGAACGTTGAAAACTATGGCATTTTCCAGCACGCA